CTAATGTGTACCAGCTCCAACCCACAAACCAGTCAGGTTCCAGGAAGCCCAGCTGTGGGTGAGTGAGCATCACGGTCAAAGCCTGCCCCACTGAGTCAGAACGATGGGTCATAAGATTTATTAATCAACAGAACAGAACATTCTTTATTGCAAGAAATCATTGTACCCTTGAGTTCACGAGAACAAAATGTTCTTAACGTTTATGACAAAATGCAATGATCTTGAAACACGGACTTTATCAATCAGACTGCATCATTTGTAAAGGAACACAGCAGTCCCTCACTACTTCACCGTTCGTTTTTCGCAGACTCGCTCTATCGCGTTTTTTCAAAGTACAATTGAACATGACGCACAAATGGCTGATTGATGGACAGCATGGATTTTTATTTAAAATGAATTATTTTAAATTATTTAGTACCTGCTGCGCCTTTGTGCAGCCCACACTGCAGGATAAGCTTCCTCATGCAGCTGATCAGCTGATCTCTGTGCAAAGCCGAGAAGTGGGCGTGTCCGAGAGCGCTTGCAGGCGGCAGACAGCAACCGAGGCAGAGGGCTGAAATAATGACATTCTGTGCTATAAATACTAAAATAAACTACTACTTACTACTTGTACTACTATTCCTACTTCGCAGTTTTTCACTTATCGTGGGTCTTCAGGGTACGGATCCCCGCAATAAACGAGGGACTACTGAACACCAATATTCATCCAATGACGACGTTCTGACGATTGTACTGAATTTTGCCACGTGGATTATAAGATATTTTGCTTACAGACAAACAGGACTGAGTTAAAGAGTTACTGTCAGAGTTTTATAATGCAGTGAGTAGAGCTCAGAGTGAGGGGTGAGGATCACTCTCAGCTACTACCACATCAAATCTTAGCTCGATAACAGTAAAACTGGCTGAGGGCTCTCTTTGCATTCGGCGGCGAGCGTGAAATAAACGTTGGAGCAGAACAGTCCAGCATCAAATAAACGTTTTATTCATTTCAACCAAATCTAAAATCAAAACGACTTTCTTTCATGTTGTTTATAATGTCTTTTTAAGTGTCCTAATAAAACCGGTGAGCTTCTGCTCGGTGTGTGTGATGAACCAGAGGCATGAATATAAAGTGCTGCAAAACCAATGTTTTATATTCCTCCTCAAAGCTGAGAAGAACAATACATCACACTCAGAGGCAGACTCAATCAAAACAGAAAAGACCAGGCAGCTTTATGCATAAAACATGCTCATGAGGGGTTTGTAGTACTTGAACTGACACCTCACTGTGCAGCAGGTGAGATTAAGAGAAATATACAAGCTTCTCCAGGTGTTGTGTTCTTACCAGAAGCTCAAAGCCACTTGAAATCACAATATGACCTTCACCTGGTGTCCACAGCTCCTCTCGTGCTTTTATGGAAAACTTGAAGAACACGCAGCACACTTGTGATACTTGTGTTAAAGTCAATCAGCGCCTTTTTGGTGCGTCATATAGAAGAAAGAATCTGAAACAAAAAGGTGTCATTCTGCAGAAGCTGCATGTCTTTCCCACTGACGTGCATAATCTTCAGAAAGAGAGGGAGCAGGCTCGTTTGAAGGCAGAGGGAGGTGCACACGTACAGAATGTTGTATTGCATGATTGCCTCTGGGCCCTCGTTGTGAGCATGAAAGTCTCCAAAGGCACAAGACGACAATGTGCATTAATCTGAATTTGAGGCACCTTCAAACTAAGAGCCTGAGGTGTTAAAGCCCATACACATAACCAGGACTTCAAGTGAGCCCGATCCTGTCGGAACAGGATCCGGGAACTCTTATTTTGACAGGGTGCGTTCTGATAACAATTTGCTACGATCCGGCTTGGATCTGGTAACTCTCAGGCTTACTAATAATAAATTTATGAACAAATATAACTGCCGTGAATGAATAAATCTTATATTGGATATGTAAACTGAAACTAATTACATAAACATTCATTTTAAACACAACAGCCACAGCAAACGAGCTGCCCCTTCAAGGAGCTTTTCCATGTATACTCTTAAAAAAATCTCCGCCTCTAAAAGAGTGGTGGGGTTGAGTGCTGAGCTAACCAGGCAGTCGTACACGGGCAGGAGTCCACAGGCAGCCGCAGACAGGCGCCTGGAGGTTTCACATGTGGAGTCGGACAACAACGAGCAGGGACAGTGTCGGGCTCGGAACCGTCAAGTAAGGGGGGGGTTGGATGCTTGACAGAAGAAGAGTGTTTACAAATATAGGTAAACATAGATGTTTAACAACCCGTTAAAATACACCAAAATGCAGGAAATTGCATCTACTTTATAAAAAAATTTCACACCGGCCCACCCACTGTTTGCATTCCAGCATTGATCAGTTTACAAATTAAGCCCTACTTATAACGTTAAAAGGCATAAAGCTCATGGGACTGTAGCCAACCTCTTAGCACATGGACGCAAGAGGAAATGTAACCCCAGGTTGATTGTGGGAATGATAAAAATAGAACCAAAGAAATCATTCAAAAACATTCAAGCTGAACTCAAAGGTCAAGGTACGTGACTTTCTGATCACACCATTCATCACATCAAAGCTGAAATAATATCTCAACTATGGCCCCAACTCTCAAATGAGTTGAAAAGGATGTTCTATGGACGCATTCCCATCTACCTGCCAGCTGTGCTCGAGTACCTGACCACTGAGATCCTGGAACTAGCAGGAAACATGGCTCACGACAGCGGAAGAACAGGATCGTCCCTCAGCACCTACAGTTGGCTGTCCGCAGCTATGAGGAGATCGGCAGACTTCTGGGAGGAGTGGCCATCGCTCTGGGAGGAGTTCTGCCCAGCATTCAAGCGGTCCTACAGTCCAGGGGAACCAGGAGGCCAGCCGAGTCTGGGTGGACGGATCGGACGGCATCTGCAGCCAGTTTCTTAGGATCCACTGTGAGATGGACCTTTACAAGAGATCCTTCCTGCCTACAGCCATCAGTATCTATAACATCTCTTAATGAAACGAGGATAACGAGTTACAGCAACAAAATAATTTCCCTCTGGGATTAATAAAGTATTTTTGAATTGAATTGAATTGAATTGAATTTTGAATCATGATAAGCTCCATGGACCCAGGAGGCTCCACTAATGACAGAAATCCACCAAAATGTACGTTGACAAGCTCCACGAGTTCTTTGACTTATAAGACAAAACTGGAGTTTTTAGGCCGGTCCCATCAGTTGTGTTGGGGCGGCTGTGGCTGAGTGGGTAGAGCAGTCGTCCTTCAATGTGAGAGTTGGGGGTTCAAATCCACCAGCAGTCACATGCTGAAGTGTCCCTGGGCAAGACACTGAACCCCTCCATCGCCTCCGATGTGTGTCCCATCGGTGTTTGAATGTGATAAAGTTCTGATTAGTCTCTTTAGAATGATTTGTTCAATTAGCTTTGTAGTGATCTAGTAGAGTGCTGTATGAATAAATGAGGCACAGATTGTAGAGTGAAGCGCTTTGAGTATCTTGAAATAAGATAGAAAGGTGCTATATAAGTACAGTCCATTTACCATTGTGTGATTGTGTGTGTGTTTTATTATTATGAAAGGGTATCAATCAATTTATCTGTCTGTATGTTGCCACTCAACACCTACTGAACGCACAATAAAAACACATGGTTCCATGCTTAAACAGCTTTGATGTATCAATTTCCACAAATTGTCTTATTTACAGGGCTGGCTGAAGGTAGGAGTATCACAGACAAGGTGGTTTGGTTTAGAAAAATAATTATTCACACAAAAAACATCAAACGGATGTTTCAGATCCGACACACTGGACCCGCTAGAAGAACTTTTATACTTTTTAACAAATCTAAATGGTCTGCTGTGAAACATGAGACGGTTCTGCTTTTATCTTCAAACTGAATTTTTGATAAGAACTGAGAAAAAAACACCTTTTTTAAAGCAACAACATCCTGTTAATGTTTGGGACATAAAAGCCAACGCTCCAATGATAACGCTGTCATTGAAGTGTAGACATCACTCAGACTCTGTGCTCCAAATGTGTCACTGTTTCCTTTACAACTTTAGATATAATGTTGCGGGTAAGTAAATAAATGTTTCAAGCAAGTTTAATGCATTTTAATGCAATTATATTTTGTCTAAATTAAATATTCTCAGCAAACAGGTCAACCTCTCCACTTAGTGCTGTTATCATGATTCCAAGTCACTTTTATTGTCGTTTGCAATAAGGCTGTGGATAAAACATGGATGTAGGTTTGTGAGCGGCTGTTTTAAAGCCTTGACTTCAGCTTCTTGAGTGTTACGAATACGTTTTTCTAAAGTCAGTAGCAGCATGTCAGTCAGATTGTAGCTTTGCCCTAAAGCAGGGGTCTGCAACATCTACGATCCAAAGAGTCATTTCTGGTCCTTTGCTCACTCAATAAAATGATGTCCAGAACTGCAAAGCCTGCATCAACTGTGATCATCAACTGGTGGCCCATGGGCCACTCCAGCTCTGTTGGAAGGGGCATTTCCAGTCAGTAGGATGATGCAAAACTAAAAATATCTCATGATTGTTGATATTTATTTTTATTTTTACATTTTAAGATGCAATAAAATACCAGATTCACGTAAAGAAGGACAAATATATGTAATTTTTACCAATTTAAAAAACTGAAACATTGAACTCTGCAAGCCTGTGTGAATTTTTGCTTTAATTCTAGAAACATTAATTAAGTCAGCGGATCTCAAACTGGGGCACCTGGACCCCCGGGGGTTCGCGAGCCAGTGCTTGGGGGTCCGCAAAAAAAAAAAAAAAGTAAAATAAATGTTTTTAAAAAATTGTTTTACAAGCATGTAGATGTTTGATGATTGCAGACCTCAGCCCTAAAGTGTACCCTGTTTTAATGTATTTTAATCAAAACTGGGATCATGTTGAGATTTAATTTATTTAAAACAAGATGACCAGCTGGATAAAACAAGAACTGCAGTTTGTGAATTTGATGCTCCATCTGATAAAATATGTTTGCCGAGAAGCTTTTGACCCTCACCTCCTGTTTGGGGACGCTGACGTAGCCTAGGTGAGGTTTGAAGGCCTTGTAGGGCTGCTTGGAGAACATCCAGTGGCTGCTGAACGCCTCACCGAACACAGGCTGCAGGAGGAAGTACGGTTTCTCCGAGTAGTTCACCACCACCACAAAAAGAGACACGGCCACGATCAGGCTGGTGGCGATAAGTGGCTTTTTCTGTGGAGACAAAGAGCTCATTAAGCACAAGTTTGAGTTATGCATACATATTATAACCAGATGAATCAGAGATCGTGTTCCAGCCGGTGCAGCTGGAAGGTTGGGACATGCAAAATCAGCTAAAAAGCCAGTTGTGTTTCTGGAAAAGCTGAAGGAAGCAGCATGATATAAATCTTTTTATCATTTAATTAAAGAATTATTGCAATGAAACGTCATCCAGCAGCGTCAAAGTTCTTTCTGCAACATTCAGGGCACCATGAAACCATCAACAAGCATTAACCCAAACATGATCAGAACTGTAGAAGCCTTTTGGATGAAAGGTGAAACAGAACAGGAAGGGCAGCAGACTTCTAGGTAACCACTTGGAATTGACTCGCCTCAGTTTGGCTCAGGGATTTTAAATTAATCAACCAAACACCAATACTTCAGGTCAGACATTTTAAGTTTTTGGAGGTTGCTTGACTGGTTAACTGGAAATATAGTAGTTTTACTCATTTCTGTCTCTGATCAAATTTATTGTCTTTCTTGGCTTGACTCGTCACAGATGAGTAAAAGTAACAATTTATGACTTTTAAACATTGTTTGTCTCAACTGTGTTGATGTGTTTATTTCTTGTCAGAAATAAGATGACAAAGGGAGAAAAAACAACAACTTTGATGCTGCTTAAATTGCATTTATGCAAAAACACATTTAATTTCAAACAAGTCTTAACGCATCAATATATAATTTACAAAATGTTTCATTTTACGGTCAGAGCTACAAAAGTTGTAGTTTCAGTTGTAAATGTCTCATATAAACAAGTGCTACTCCGTTGTACCCCATTGCTGTAAGATGCAGAGCAGATACTGGTGAGCAAAGGGAGCAATTTTAACCACCACAAGGGGGATACCCCAATCATTGAAACTATGAAACTATACTTTTAAGCAACATAAAAATTAGAAAGCATAATTTCCTCAAATGATAGGAGTGGCCAGTTTACATATACAGTAGTCCCTCAATACTTCATGGTCCGACTTTCATGGACTCACTCTTACGTGGGTTTTCAACATAAGATTGTACACATTGTTTCCCGGTGGCCTGACCCGCTCAGGGGCCCCCTCCTTTCTCTTTCTGAGGATGTTGGTCACAGCAGAGCGGACAAACACAACAGGCGGGCGCACAACCTGTGACAGACAGCCTCAGAAAGAGAAAGGAGGTGGCAGAGTGGGGTCTGTCTTTCCCCATCGCTGCTGTGGGAGCTTTAGTGAGGCAGATACCCACAACTAGGAAATGTCAACGTGCTCCCGATGGCCAGTCCGCCCCCTGGAGCTGATTGGCTCAGTAACCGTAGCATCAGTCTGTCTGCTTTCTTTCTCTGCGCTCTTTTAGTGAGTTTTAAAACATTGTTAAAAACATTGCAAGAGTATGGGAAGAGTTTATAAAGCCTTAAAATATATATATAAATACTAGGGCTGGACAACAATTCGATATCGATATATGCCTCGATATACTTTTATTCAATAATGGTGATATGAGTTTTAAGCACATTTTCAATAGTTCGATACGATTACAGCGTTTCACCGACACATTTCTTTTTCTGTTCGGGTTGAAGCGGCCGCTTCAGTTTCAACCCGAACAGAAAACGGTGCGACACAACTACGTAAGTGCGTGGTGACGTAGATGTTACACAGAGCTCGAGTCCAGAAGGCGTTAGCGGTAGCAGGCTAGGCTAATCTCCAATGCACGTTAAGTTTTCACTTCAAAATGAGTGCCCATGACCGTCAGAATGTGACTGAACAAGCTTTCACAAGCGAACAGAAAGCAGATGACATAACTGATAAGAGAGGAAAGACTAATTCGGCGGTGTGGAAGTGGTTCGGCTATCCAAGATCCGATACAAGATACACTGCAGGTTTCAGTCGGTGTGCTGTAAAATGTGCCGGAGAGTTGTTCCAACTAGCGGTGGGAACACATCTAACTTGTTCCACTCGATAGAATCTGCTGAGAGTCAGAAGATGAAGCACAACAAAGTTTGAGCCAACGTGTCCCTGAAACAACACTCCCAGCTGTATCAAAAGAGAAACACATGCTGCGTGGGTTGTGAAGTTATGTTGCTGTTTAAAGTTAAAACTATTAATATTGACAAAGTTGAGTTTTATATTTATTTGATGGTGATTTCAATGGGTTTTTTTGAAGGCTAAATACAAAAAAAAGGTGAACATTAATTTATTTGTACAATTTGTACAGTTTTTCGGAGGCTTTTATATTGTTTATATTGATATTGAATTATATAGGTATCGACCAAAATTAAGAAATATATCGTGATAAAAGTTTTGGCCATATCGTCCAGCCCTAATAAATACTCAAATAAATAGAACGTCCCTACTTCGCAGATTTACACCTATTGCTACGGTGTCTGGAACGTAACCCCTGCGATAAGTGAGGGACTACTGTATATATGGTGGCCGCCATCTTGGATTTTAATGTAGCAACCCAATTTTCTAATGGAAACATTCTTACTCATAGACAGACACACCAAAAAGGAAGTTGGTTATTTTTCAAGTTACACATATATAGAGTCATATTGGATTCTGACGTGACAACTCAGTTTTCGACTAGATGCAGCCACACACTAAGATGGACACCGTTACCTCGCCTGTTTTTCAAGTTATCGGGCTCACAACGTACACGGACAAACGGACAAAAGAAAGAAAGGATGGATGGAAGAAAAGTATGAGTCTAAAGGTTGTGGCTGTATTTCACCATCTAAAGGTGCAAATATTTGAAGTGCCTTCTCAGTAAAAACTCCGTTGGGACAAACAGGGGTTCATGAAAGTGCGTTTTACTGGAGTCCCTTTAATAATTTCTGAAGAGGGAGACGTGAGACCTCCTGCTGCAGGAGGATAGGCTCAAAGCAGCACAGCAACTCTGAAGAAAGTAAAATCTAATCATTTCATTTTGGATTCAGGACTAATGATTCACAGCAACATCTTCTCTTCCCTTAAGATGCATCAAGGATGAGAAGATCTCTGAAATCCTGCTCCTTCAGAAAATAGTCAATTTGTAAAGATTAAAAAAGATTAACACTTAATCTCTGCTCACTGAAACACACGATTTCACCTCTTGTTTGATGCAGCGGTTTTAAACGACCAGATCAGCTTTTTCAACATTTATTTTTTTTCACCGAATCAATAACAAGAACAATTGTTTGTCTGTTGGCTGAAATGAAAACTTCATTCAAACTAACATTTAGGACAAAAAATATTCCATAAACTCCAAAAATACAACGATAACTCTAGTGACCACAGAAATCAACTGTTCACTAACTTGCTAAAAGAAATAACAAAACTAAGCACACAGCTAGCTTCTGGTTGATTATGAAACAAACTTTTTTAAAACTTAAGGATAAAATTCTAACAAATGTGACACAATCCCTGATCTTTTGGTTCTAGTCTGGAGTTCCAAACATACAAGAAAATATTGTCCTTGTCCACACATTTCTAAAATTATCCTTGTAAAAATTTAAGTGTTTCAAAAGAAATGTCTTCATGCACATGGAAACATCAAAAACAAAACACTGTAGCAACCAGGCCAAGCCTGTATGAGGCGCTGCAACACTGCCACAAAAATACACCTAAAACAGGAAACAAGGCGCATAAAGCTTTGGCACGGTGTGGAAAATATAGACACAAAAACAGGACACCCTCAGGCATAAGGTGCATGAGAGGCGGGGCTATGACATCATAAAAGTTGCATTTTGGCTGAAAAACACCATACCTGTGTGAACACAAGATAAAAACAATAAAAAATATATATTTTGCGTAGTAAAAGTATACTCCGATTGATGCAGAGCAGCTTTAGAGGGACACACTTCGGGGGACTTGATTTACCAGCTTTGTCTTGTACCTAAAACACATTTAAAAGAAACAAACTCAGGTGGAAATATTCTTAAGGGTTCTTCAACATGAGTTTTGGGGACTAAAGGTTGGGCTTGGCTGATAAGTTGAAGTTGATACCAACTTCAATTTAAATGTATTTTTTTTAACTATCAATATAAATATGGAGACTGCACAGCTGAAAAACAAATTTTAGTTCCTTACGTGACTAAAATAAAATCCTTAGCCTGTCACATTGTCTCCTCCTCCTCAACCCATGGGGTTCGTTTGAAACAACATTAGTTAAAAGAAAAAAAAATAAACCTAAAAACTCATCATTTAAAAAATGGGCAGTTTGTTTAAGTGAAGTTGTATCGACAAACCAGAAATGCTTCCAGCTTTTACAGGAACAGATTTGTTGTATTAATGGACAATAAATCTGATTCTTACCTGCATTTTTAAAGAACCCATTCTAGAATCAGTCCTGATCGAAAATTGGAACCCCTTTAATAGAAAAAAACAATCAGAATTTATTTTCTTTCTCATTTTATTGCAAACAGCCCGAAACAAAATGGCACAAACTGCATATGCAGGTACCTGTGAACATTTCTGGTCCAGACTCAAACAACTGCTAGAACGGCTGTCGATTTGTTTTGTTACAGGATTAAGGGACTTTGTTCACTTTGCATTATCTGCTTCTCTGTTTCCTCTACAAATAAAGCAACAGCTGGCGCGGCATTGTTTCATCCACAGCTGAATGGGAAGGTAATGGGTATTATGGCCCCACAAAAAGAGAGAAAGAGCTTGGAGTGATGAATAATGGATAAGTGATGGAGGAGGAAAGGTCTCACAGAGGAGAAACTATCGGCAAAGCAGAAGTGAAGATCAATGGTTGTGGTGAAGAAAGTATTGGAGCCTGAGCATGATAGATTTTAACAGAACCAAATATGTTTCATTTTTTCTCTACTTTTTTTTTTTTGTGTGTGTGGCTAGTCTAACAGCCAACACCTTTGGATTTTTAGGAAGTTGTTGTTTTGCAAACTCTTTGAAGCTATTTGATGGGAATAAGACTAGATGTGGCGTGCGGTGATGGTGAATCCCCCCTACCGCCAGAGAGGCTGCAAAGCATTGAACTCAAATATCACG